ATGGCTGTGCCGGCCATGCTTTGAGATAGAAGCAATCCAGATTTTTTGTGAAGATAGAGTTCGTCATTATTTAGATGAAGCAGCCGATTGCCCATGCCAGGTGATTCTCCGACTGAGGACACTGACGTTTGTTGCTGGGACATGTTGGGTCGACATTATTGCCCGTGTCCTCGTTTACGGCATGTTTACAGCTCCAAGCCCACGGCCCTGTGGAGTTCGCTGCAGGTCCCAGAGAGATACATGCACTGTTGCCGCATTTCATAACTTTCAGGCACCGCGCCCGAATATCACAATGCTGAAGGGGTGTCTTCGTTGAGTAGTGATTCCAACAGCAAGCACCTCTGACCTGCTGCTGTTCTAAAAGATGCTGACGAAGTCGAGGGTGGTATCGTGCAGGAACTGAAACTGTCAGACACGCGGCGTGCTCGTGGACACACGTTCACCGCCCCGACTTGCATTGGGGCTTGTTGCTGGTGCACCCAGTCTGCTTGAACGATTTGATGTTGCGCTTCTGTCAAGCCTTGGATGGCTGCATGACGGCGACCGTAGACATTCAGTTGATCAGGGGCTTAGTGCTTACTTTATAAGGTTGTCACTCCGTGGCACGTCATGTTGTGGCCCGGACAACTTTAGATTGCGACAAGGCGCTCATTTCGAATTTACATGAAGCCAAACACCATGTCAATACGTGTTGCAGCGGTATGTGACTGCCGAAGGCTTACCCACACAGTCAGCCAGAGGCTAACTCAAACCTTACATAAAGGTCCATGGCACATATATATATATATACACGTAATCATAGTAGTTTTAATGTGAATATAGTCTAACTGTTACAGAGTGGGGGCAGTACCCAAACTTTGGGCTGGAGGTGTAGGGTTTTGGATTTAGGAATATGTAGTGTATGGGGCTTTCATAGGGTCATCTCAGATGCGGCAAGGTGTTACAAGGGTTTTAAGCTTGCACTAGCTGTGGCAATAAACTGTATGAGGAAATGCCCGTTGCTGTTGCAAAGAAGGTTTACCTACTCTACTTACGACTCCGAAGACTATCGTTGCTGCTGACATCGGTGTTCCTTGTTTCTGTTTGGTTTAGTCGTACTGCCATGGAGCCATGGACAATCATTCAGACACATTCAGACTTACTTGAACGCCAAGCTACCAAACCTTTGGGGTTCACACAACTTGTTGTCCTCAAACACGCATACGGGTATGTCTTGTTGCCAAGACATGTGGGCATGGGTATACATCCGTCTAGTTCTCATTTCACATTTCAATGCACTTGTATATTGATTTTCTATTCTCACTGGGTGCTGGCCTGGTGAGGAGATGCTTCGCCGTGGGCGCCTTCTTCCGGCAGCCGTCGGCTTATCCGCCTTGGGCCTGGCAGCCTTCGCCTGGCTGAGACAGAGGCCACATGACACGAGGGTTTTACGGTTTTGGGCTTTGAATGCAGAAGCGACAGCCTCACGTTCCAATCTTTTTGGTGACCATCTGCGTCCTGCAACCAGCTTTGACGTTTCGAATGCCTGTGCGGGAGAGAAAGAGAGAGGGTTTAGGAGCGGCTTTGGTATCGATGCTGCAAGTCGGCCTCAGTCAGGATGATTGCATGTCGCAGTCTGGCTAGACTTGAGTCCAGTAGCAAAAGAAGGGTTGAGGATTTGGTGTCGGTAAAGACCCGAACTGCTGAAGTAACAAACTGATGTGGTCATTGGGAGAACGATTATAGCTGTTGGGCTTGAGTGTGAACGGCCTTCCCATGTGTTCGACACAGTATCCTTCAAGTAAGAATATTGTTCCAGCCTCCATAACTATCTTTTTGTTGTTCCCCGCGTAGACACAGGTATCGCAACAAGCAGCAGCCAAAGCCTGCTGGTATCTCGCAAGTACGCCTTGTTTATGACAGACAGAGCTTGAAAACGACTCGCCAATGGGCCCGGGAACTATTTTTCAGTTTTCGTTTCTCATTGTAGTTGCTGGACATTTGTGCGGCGTCGTGTGCCGCTATCCCTATTGACGAATCTTCACATTTACGCCCCTGTCGAACGTACTAAGGCATGCAACACGGAATGAGGGGAATGTCCCTCGTGTGATGCAGTACATAGAAGACTAGCATAGCCAACACATGTATGTTTGCCACCTGCCTCTGAGAAGAAGCAACTGGTTGTGGTCAGGCGCTCATCAGAACTGCGAGTTCCTCCAATTCTCGGCTGAACTGGCAGACAGCTCACTTCACAGAACCGAGAAAGCAGAAGTTCGGGTTTCGTCTGAAAACAGAAGCTGATTAGACGAACGACGGCGCTACCAGCCATAATCGTGTGAACCAAGTACTCCGGGTTTAGACAGAGGTAGCATAGTACACTTAGAAGGCACTTCGCCAAAGGTAGCTTCAAACCCGAAATGCTTCCATGCTTCCTCAGGCGCTCAAGCCACACAGTCGACGCCATGCCAGCACACAGGCGTTCTTGTAGGGAAGTCCTGAGAGTGGCCAGTAGCAAACCCTTTGCTACTGAGGAGCCAATATTATTTTGGTGTTCTTTTTTATAAAAACAGGGTATAATGGGCCCCGAAACCCTATTCTAATCATACAGGCCCCTAGAATTTCCTTATTATAAATATATCGTATAATGGGCTCCAAAACCTTATTCTAATTATTATGGCCCTATATTATGCTCAGGGCGGCCTGGGAGCCTGAAACTGGGCCACAGATTTGCACCCGACAACCCTGAAGTCAGAAGGGTAACATCTTTAGAGCCAGGCCTGTAACACCTGAAACAGAGGGTTTAGGGTTTAGGGTATGGTACGTACAATACATCCTTTGCCTTCTGCATTAAACAAGGTCCCTGAACCAGTGGTATGCGTTGCACTAGCCGTGCCGAACGCTTCCACGCTGTTTTTGTTGCAGAGCCCGATGTTCTGGATAGATTCCGATGCGTGCTGGCACGGCCGCCTTCATTTGTTCATCAACTCTTGACGCGGTTGCGTGTAGCTTCCCTGTCAGACGCCAGCGGTTGCAAGAACGCGGCTGTAAGCCTCCAGTCCAGCTGCAAGAAACTCGAGAAGTGAGCCTAGGAGAAGCGACTTTGCATCTGACGGAAGGCTGCTGCGCACTGCGGTAGCTACAAAGGCGTTTATTGCCATATACAGAAAGATGATGAAGAGAAGGCTGCAGTTGACAAGTTGTCGTTGGTCGGGTGGTGCGACCGAGCATTCAGTTCTTAACAGTTCTGTTTTATCCTTTGCTGATCAACTGTTAGGGCCTGTTACATGCTCAGCAGCACAGATTCGGACATCCACAATTTCGGGGGTGGTTCGACATGGCTCTGGACATTGGGATTTGTCCTGAGTGCCGATGCCGGATTGTCTTCATCGTCCACGGACAAACAAGTGATGAAAGACGCAGCGGCCAGGTAAGAAAAGGTGGCTTGCGTGACTTTGAGCAACGAATGTCACAGAGGTCAAATAAGAGATGACTCAAGATGTGGAATCGGCAGTAGTCGTCCGACATCTAGGAAGCTTCAATCCCGGAGTCATGTCCTGAAAGTACGGACTCCACGCACATGCCAAGGTCGACGAAGCCTGAAGTGATTCAAAGCCCGCACAGCAAGTAGCCGAAGGCTTCTACTTCTACACCATTGGGGAGCGCCACGTCACACAGCAGGCACGGAGATGACAAGAGCGGAGAACGAGGCTGCTATTGCGGATGCTGCTGCTACTGCTACTGCTGCTGCTACTGCTACTGCTACTGCTACTGCCACTGCCACTGCTGCTACTACTACTACTACTACTACTACGACGACGACGACTACTACGACGACGACGACCAGGCACGACCACGACTACCCGTGACCACCCCATTCTAAAGTCTCCAGGCCCCGATATAGTATATTTTATTTATGATATAACCCATAAAAAACCATTAGGACCAGTAAAACGAAACCTATAACATCCCGTCTCTAGAGCCTTCTGAAAGCGAGCGTAGAAGACATTCTTACCTGGTGAAGGAGCCCTCAACCCTATAAACCCCACTTGTTTGTTTTGTCGAGCTAATGAAAGTAGACGTAAGGGGTCTACATAATTACTGATACTATTTTGCGGCTTCCTTCTTAGAATTATAGTACAGTATACCCCAAACCCCTATTCTAATTATTAAGGCCCCTACAATAGTTTCACTCAAGCAGACCACATGCCACATGCCTTGCCTGGAGTCCGAGAGTGTGAGCGCCGAAATCCGAAGTGCAGGAGCTGGGCGTTCGGCTGGCAGAGGCCACAGGACGATTTCATTTGGCCGCAAGGCACTCATCCGGAAAGGCTTTCCTTAGGACTCAAAAAGTTAGGGTTTAGGGTTTAGTTGGAGGCGGCCGAGAAAGGACATAATAAGAGCATAAGCATGTTTACGAGGATATCCCTACCTACCTTATTGGGTTTCGGTATGTCGAGTTTTACAGGTCTTCTGGGTGCTAGGGTTACTACAAGCCTTTAAGAACTCCTCCGAGGGTTTCGATAGGGTTCTTACTCTGTTCGATAGGGTTCTTACTTGTGGATGCTGCTTTGGAATGCTGTTGATGTCACAACCCGGAAACTCCACGGCCACTCCAGCTTCGAACATCTTCGAACCGTCATAGACGTACACCCTAAGCTCCACATGGGGCTTCAAGGTTCTGAAGGCATCGAGTCTGGGTTTCCTTTTCCTTGTGATTGGCAATCGCAGCTGAAGCCCTTGCCTCCAGGAATCCGAACCCTGAAGCCGACGTACTATAGGGGCCTGAATAATTATATAAGTAGAATGATCGCCAAGCGAAGCATGTGCATCTAGCCTTTGTTCTCTAAAGTCAGTTCAGAGCAAGCCAGGACCGCTTATGGTTAGATAGCTTCACGGAGTGCCCTTGCCAGCATCATGAGGCCCCGACTTGGGTGATCCATATATGGCTGGCAGCCGGACCCTCAGTTTCAAACCTCCTCAATGATCTTCCACAAAAACTTCGCGGAAGCGGGGTTGAGGTCATGAACTTCCTGGTTTCCTTCCAGTTCCAGCTGCCCAGCTGGCCACTCAATCAGCCTGCAGGCGGGCCACGCTAGCTGCAGGGAAGCTGTCTGGGCTGGGAGTCGGACAGCAGCAGCTTTGCACAGGGCGGGTCGTCGAGCCGAAGTCATACTTCACCACGCCGCGGGCCCAAAAGACTCCCGTGCTTCTGTCGCTGGTAGCGCGGGCCCACAATGACGCTTCGGCACATGTTCCACGTTGGAGCACGGCGCCCCCTTTCAGTTACAACTTGTTGCATGTACTGCAGCATTCACTTCGCGAGTCGCGAGGGGGAAGCTTCAGCATCAGGGAAAGAACCGGAGGAAGGGAGGGAAGCGCCACACCGTGAGAGTGAGAGTCTCGTTGTCTTAGCTGTCTTAGCTTTGGTAAAGGAGGAAGAAGCGGGAAAGACAGACAGACCCTGATGCCTGCAAGAAGGAGCAGAGGAGAGCTTGATGATAATCAAATCCTACATGACTTGTCGGTTCTGTGCCCAGGTACTCCATGGCCAAGAAAGGCCTCATAGACCAGTGGCTCCTTGGCAATGAACCAACAAGGTCTGGGGTGCTCCGATGATTCGAGTCATTTGAGACGACCAGACAAGGGCCCAAGTGGTTCTGCTGGCTTTCAGATACAAAGCCTTGGCAAGCCGGCGGCGTGATACATTTGAGGTGTCAAGGTGTCTCAGGGTAGTGACCAGGTCTCAGGTCCCGAGACATGAACACACCTGCACTCCATGGCTGCTGAGATTGTCAGCGGATGCCAGCTCAGGTTTGACAACGCTCTTTTTCGAGAGACTTTTGGCTACAGCCACCTCTACATCACTGAGGCTGTCCAATGAGAGTTACAGGTCACAGCCATGAGCCATGAACTCAAATCATGATCCCTTATCCATCCAGGAGGCGGTGGCCATGGTGGCGGCAGCTCAGAAGCAGAGCCGCCCCAGGCGACCTCAAGGGAGGAAGGTAGTCATGGAATCGTCAGGATGTCGGCAATTTGAGACCGTGAGGTTGGAGCAGCATCAGAGAGTGACATCATAGGACGATGCTTGACGAGAGAGAGTTAGACAGCAAGTCTTCGTATTACGAATGAGGAACCATCGGAATGAGTCAGTCATTGAAGGGTCCATGTTATGTCTGGTTGATGGTGCAGTTGCCGTGCCGCTAAAACCCTTTCGACGCTTGGCAGGTCCAATTCGTAGAAGCGAGCGGCTTATTGGGCCGGTTACAGGATGTCACCGGAAGGGTTACCGGGCTACACCTTGCACTTTACCGATCACAAATCCCTGTCAAAAGTCCTCATGTACCCTACCCTTTCCGTGGGCGCCTCTGGGCGCTGATCATGGCGCGGACACGAGGCTTGCAGGTGCTGCTTTGCTCCGTTGGCTGGGCCTCCAGATTTGCAGCACCACACTGTGACGCTGCACATCTACGATCTTCACCGACTAGCTCGTGGCTTGAACACTTTTCTCAAGGGCATTTGGGCTTCTATCACACAGGAGTGGAGGTGCACTGTCGCGGGTGAGCTCTTCAAGCAACGACATTTTCGAAAGCTGCCCTCGAGGCTGTGCATACCCTGTGTACAGGGAGTCTGTGACCTTGGGGACCACCTCTTGGTCGGAAGATGAGGTGAAGATGCTCTTGCATCGTTTCGATGCAACATGGGTGGCTTCCGAGTGCCACTGCATCCGGCGCAATAGCAGCGACTTCTCTGAGGCCTCGTGCGTGGCTCTCGGTGTTGCCCCGGCCTCCTCGGAATTCACAGTCGTGCTCCTGCTTAGCAGGGAAGGAACCGGCACGACACGCAGACCTAAAGCGTGCCATCGCTGCTCGCGATTTCGTTGAAGGAGCAATGAGTCAGGAGAATTCCAGCCCAGTGAGCACAAGGTTACCGTCACTGCTTTGCAGCCCGCAGTCTGGGGAATCCACAACTGTCCCTGGCCTACACAAGGAAAGCCCGCCGCCAATGACCAGCAGCTTGCAGGTTGCGACACAGGCGCTGGGGCTGCTTGCAGCGGTCGCAGGGAGATCTGACCAGGCTGCAAAAGCCACTCGAATGCACAGAGGACAGCTTCAACACGGTCCATCGACAGTCCCAGTAGTGAAAGCTCCGATTCTCATTCTTCATCTCAGCTGATCGGTCCCCACTGTGCAGCGCTGCTGTGTCGCAACAGCGACTGGGAGGTGGTGTGGGCTGCGGCACGCACACACGCGCAGATTAAAGCTGCGTGTGTGTACTTCCGCAGGAACAAGAAGTAGGCCGTGTTCTCGACATGCGGGTCACACACACACAACCTAGTTTTGTTGCAGGCGAGACCTTGCGACCTCATCTGGCAAGTCGGGGTTGAGAGCATAAACGCGGCTGAGCCCTTGCAGACATGGTACAAGTTTTTTCATCTCCCGCGCTTTGCAAGGCAAGTCTTTCTCGGGATTGCATGCTTAGCTTCCAGATTCCCGAAGCTTTAATTCCGACAACTCAGAGGTCTTGCCTCAAGTATTCTCAAGTCAGTGGTTGCAAACACTGCAGCTGCTGATGGATCAGGGCAATGTGCACTGCAGCTGCTTGTTCAGAAAAGCTTCGTTCCTGGCACCGAGAAGCCAAGCCGCCTCCACCTACCGTTTCAGCTCGGGGCATCTGGAGTCGCGAAGTTCCTCTAGCGAAGCCACTACGATGCCGTGCCTGCAGGCAGACACACTCGCATAACAAGCGGCCTGGCACGCGTGGTCCTCAGCTGGAGCTCCATCTTGCGGATCAAAGAAGTCAGACTCGTAGCTCTTTATAGTTCGTATCAGGTTCAAAAGATATAGACCCAAATCATACATATATGTATGTGTATATGTATTTGTACATACTTTGTATTATATATTACTCGAGCTATATATACATATGTCCGGCAGTACCTACAGCACGCCAGTGCTTTTGGCCCGCCGAGGTTGACCCTCGTGGCAGGGCCCGTGGTTATTTCCCTTTGTACAATGGTCGGGGCCTCGGTAGCAACAATACTAATAATGATAAACATCCTGATCATATCAATCGTCATAATAGTAACAATACTGATGGCAGACCATAACAATAAAGATTGACAATAGTAGCAAAAATTATGTTTATGATCGTAGGAATACCAGAAATGGTGCTAATCTTCTAATACAACTATATAGGGAAGCTGCGAGCCTCGGGCCGCTGTTGGGGCTTTCGGATTTTCTTGTTTGGCCTTGGTGGAAGGTAAGAACTAGTAGCAAATCATGAGAAGATGAAAAAGCTATAATAGCAAAACTAAAACTCAGTATTAGACTTCATCATCATCAATGTAGGACGACGGCGAATAATCCATGTTTGCCTCTCTTTTGTGTACAGTAGCTTGCTCGTAGCTGCGACTACCCATTGACCTTCAAGTTGGTAAAATCTGCAGCACCATCATTGGTCCCTACCATGGGCATCTCTATTCACAATATGTAACGGATGTCATTCCTGTGCAGTTTGAGTGAAGCCAACTGCGCAAAACTGTTGGAAGAGTGTCGTCTCGTCGGTTTCGTAGCAGAAACTGTTGAGCCCAGGGCAATTTAGCGCACCAAACTGCAGAGCATGAATTTGGGCCGATTTGGGCTACATGTCTAAGGCCAATCAACCGTGCTAGCACTTGACAGCTCAGGTTTTGGTGATGCTTTGCGGTGGCTTGAGCCTTTCTGCCTTTCAGCTGCAAAGTCTTTTGCAGCGGATGTCGAATGCTGAGGTATCGGTGGGGATCGTCTCCTTGTCTCGTTTGTAGCTTGATCCCTATTGACCCGAAGCTTTGAACAAATGAGTCACTCGCCTCTTCAAGAGCTCCCACGAAGACTTCAAAGTCCAAAGTGCAGAGCTCCATCGTTTGTTGGGGGTTGACATCTTGCCACTGGTGTGTCCTTGACGGCTTCTGGCATGTCAACCGAGCTTGACGACGGCGCTGCTGGCCCAAATGCAAAGGCACTGAACCTGCCAGCAGTAAGGTTGCATGCTCCACATCCTGGAGCCTGTGCAGTGGCTTGGTGGCAGATCTAAGGTGGTTTTGCATCGATCCCGTTTCTGTGATGTAATCAAGGACCCTCAACAAAAACTAGTAATGGCACCGCTTCTGGATTTTAGCGCCCCTTTGATGCCGGGTTAGAGAACTGTCGGCCTCCGGTGAGCTTCCCCGCACTTACTCCTAGTTGCGGTGCAACAGACCGATCCCTCCTCCCATGCATGGCATCATAGCGGCTTAGCCTTTACTTTTGCGCCTGCTTTTGACATGGTTAAGATGGCTTTGGTGCACGTATCACCGAACAAGACAGCAAAAGGCAATGCCCAGAATCAAACGTGACGGAAAAACCCGCAGAAAATGGCAGGCAGACGGATAGCCAGATGTAGATGTACCGTTATGTACAGTTACAACACAGTCATCATCGGCTGAAGCATGATTCGTACACGACGCAGCATCAATAAGTCAACACCATCCTTATCACCTTCCTCTTTCTCGTCATCACAAACAATGCAAATAAGTCCAGCTGTGCCTATACATTTTCCATCGGCCTCAAAGAAAAACAGACCCGGCCGGCCAGTCCATGGACGACCCTTGAGTTTTGCTTCCTGACGCCAGGGTTGGCATGTTCAGGTCTTTGCCAGTTCGGCTTCTTTGTCTCCTCGCCTGCTACACACGTTTGTGGCTTCGTAACGTGCCTTGGCATGCCCCCCGGTCAAGAGCTCTACCAGCTGATATAGGCGCTTGAAAAGTCGTAACACTTTTTTTGGTGGGTGGGTGGATTATCATGGCTATAATATACTATACCACCCAAAAAATAAGCCTATTCTAGTTAGTTAGTTATTGGGGCCCCCTTCAATCGCCTTGAGAGTTGTATGGCAAAGAGATCTTGTGTCCTCGACTTCTTTGCAGCCTGACGGGAGGGACCAATAGTCAAGTGTACCGGTATTTCTGTGAGTTTTTTTTTTCGGCCACTCGATGTCTCGGAGCAAAGGTTCTGATTTGCCGAAGCCAGTGTAGTTTGTCTGGGCACAGGCTAGATGATGCTAGGAGCCTTCGTGCTGAAAAAGCTTGCAGCCATGTTTTCTCCTGGCAAAGGCAGCCAGCCTACCGGCTGTGGATGCCCTTCCAGGGCGGCTCGCTTCACGTCTTCCTTCAGGGCATAGGCTTGCTGGGCTGCACCTTGTTTCTTGAACCCCCAAGACGCGGACCCTAGTTTCAATAGAACAAACCCCACCAAATCAGATTCTCACAGGCTGGTCCTGCTTCGCGCTGCTGCTGATGCAATGGCTCGACCCTCATGGGCCTGGCGGTGACAAGAGGGCTCAGGCTTTAGGGTCCACCCGAAACCCTACACCCCAAATTATAAAGCCTGGATATGCCTGGATTATCCGAGTGCGAGCGCCGAGACCCTAAAGCTGAGGTGTGCAAGTTACTACGGCGAGGAGATGCTCTTGACCGAGCTCCTTGGCCGACAAGACACTGCGGGGTGGAGCGCAGCTTCGGAATCATCCTTGGAACCCCTGTACATCCCTGGCCCTAAACCCTAAGCTCGAAACCATAAACAAAATCGAAAACCGTAAACAAAATCGAAACCCGTAAACCCTACTCTCCGCTGGATGCTTAAGAAGGGCGTGCCCCTGTTTGAACATCGTGAACATAGCGGTCTGCATAATTAGTACATACATACACACACACACACACCTACATACACGCACATACATAGATACATACATACATACATACATACATACATACATACAGACATACAGACATACAGACATACAGACATACAGACATACAGATGGATGGATTGAGGGATGGGTAGATAGGTACATACATACATACATACATACATACATACATACATACATACATACGTACATACATACATACATACATACATACATACATAGATGCATGCATGCATGCACATACACATGTGTATACAGATACATACATATTTATGTATATGTATATATGGCTGTATAAAGTGGTTCTACTCCAAAGCCGAAGTTTTTGAAAAGGCCGACTGGACCCTCCGAGGTTTCCCTACGTCGGAGACAGCCGACTCAAGGCCTTCTGGGCCTAGCTTTGGACCCCTGCAGCGGGTTTAGGGTGTATAGGGCCTATAGGCTTTAGAGAGTTTAGGGTTTAGGGCGTATCTGGTTTTTCGAAGTGTTTAACCTTTTCTGGGGGTGTTGCAGCCGGGTCGGGCAACCAAGGCTTAGAAGATGTAGCGACCACGAGAAACCTACTATTCTGCGGGGTTTTGGGGGATTGGGCTTTTGACTTTAGGACCCAAAAATCCCTATCTCTGCAGGGCTGAGGGGCTAGGGCTATTCATGGGTTGTTCAGGACTACAGAAAAAAGAAACCTACTTTGTGATATGATTCCTGATGTTCCCTTTCTCCCTCTCTCACTCTCTCCCTATGTATGTATGTATGTATGTATGTACGTACGTACGTATGTATGTATATATGTATGCCTTCCTTGACAAACCTTTTGTTACTTATACTGCGTCAGTTGACAGCACACCACCTGCCCCAAGCATGTTCGTATTGGGTCCCTGGCCATACCTTCAACAGCAAGCCGGCATGATGCTAAAATGACGTCTGCTTTTGCTACGAGTCATCCGAGACGAAGCCAGACTATCTTCCAAGTAATAGCCATGAACCCCTACATGGTACAGGCCAATGGGCACAGGGTTCAGCATTTAGGGGGGGTCCAAACCCGACAATATACGTAGTGGAGCTTGTTGCCCAGGGCCTTTCTTGCCTTGGACGAGTGAGAGAATCGAAATTCAACTTTCTCCATTCTTACTGAATATATAATATAAGAATGTAATAGTAACAGAATATAATATGATATGTAAGCATAAAAGAGTAAATATATATATATATATATTTATTTATTTATTTATTTACTTATTTATTTATTCATTTCTTTATTTATACAAAATATACTATACGACCTGAAGATCTCCAAGTCGCCCTCAGGCAGCTTTTGGCTTGATCGCACAGGCCGGACGCTGCGCCTGCCATGTCTGGGAGGTTTCCGAGAATTGTCCGACTTGTTTGCTGTGATTTCAAGGGCCTTCCTTCGGACCCAGAGACTCCAACATTCCTTAATTAAGGAATATTCCTTAAACTATAGTAGGATCCTTAATATGACTTGAGGTATTTTCCTTAATTAAGGGATATTGGAGTCTCTGGCGAGGGGGTATCCACAGCCATAGCTTGCTTTGGAGGTATTTGTTGGCCACCTTTTCTGATGAAGTTGCCCCGGTTGGCCCTGCGATAGGAATATGAGGCCCGGGTCGTTGATGCATGTGAAGGCTCGGCAGAAATGGCATGTAATCTGGCTTCTCCTGGCTTATACCTTCCTCTAGACCCTTTCTGCAAAGATGATGCCGGTGTCTCTAAGATGCGAGAAAGGACGGGAGGCAGCAAGTTCGAAAACCAAGGCAGGCGGTCGGTTCCTTCTAGATCATGAGGAATCGCTCCTGCAACGTTTTTTGGACCTGTGTTGTGTAGCAAATCTCCTTAGAGGCTAGGTACACGTGAGTCTTGAACTCAGTGGACACGCATGTTGCTGGTCCGTGCCTCCTGTCCCTTCGGTTGGGATGTTTGCCTGTAGCTCTTCTGTGAGTTACCTGTTTGTGGCCTGCGATGCTTCGAAGTCTAGCCAGGTGACGCTGGGACTGAGCGTGCTGGCGTTTAAAACTCCATGGGAGAAGACCAAGCGGAGCTGATGGGCTCCACTTGCGTCGACTCGGCAAAGCTTGAGGTCTTCTTTTTGATGCATTCCTACTGTGCTCGTAACATAGCGTGCTCGACTAGGCTGCATTGAGAAAGAGGATTGTTGGCACACCTCTGGCACTCATCCAGACGCGCAAGTGCCTAGACAGCAGTGGGTAGTCCGGGGCATCAATACCTCAAGCTTGTGCCTCCTCACACGTTGCGGCAGATCGATTTACATACCCTGACCATTGCCCTCGAGGCGATTTCACTGACATGCTCCAGACCTGAACACAAGCACCCCCAACCCTGCTTAGAGGCGTCGATTTCAGTTCGCTGCGTAAGTGGTGGCTGGGCTTCAGAGCCGTACCACTGTACATTGGAAGGACACGAAGACGCTAATGCTGGCGCTTGAGACACGACCCGACAGACATGCCTCCAGGGCTTGTTAGCGATCCTTATGCAGGAACATGATGAGCCATCACGAGGCTGATGCTCATCGGCTTGCCCTATATTTTTACATGCCGACACGGTGTATTGCACGGGGAACGAATGCTTGGGCAGCCTTTTGGCAAAGACTGTCTCTCGCCACCAGGGTATGCAAACTGTGCACAGTCGTTCTTTATTGCATTTCCACCGCGCCCAATAGGAGGTTTGTCAGAACGGTGTGGCATGCGGAGTGTGGTCTTGCGTTGTCAGGCGCCGCACGCCCCGCAAGCATTCTTTTCCTCGGTAGGCAGAATCCAGAGTTCATCTGGATGTATTAGTTTGAAGCTGTGAACACATTGGACGAAGGCGCTCAAGTCTCGGCCATTTGGGCTCCCCCACATCTCGTAGGTTCGCCAGAGAGTCCAAGTGTGTGACCTGCTCCCTGACGTGGGAGCAGCATCCCGGCACACAGAAGCGCGTGCCGAAGGGACCCCGCCGCCGGGCCCACAGTGGCCACAGCAGCTGGAACGGCATGTAATGGCTCCACACTACTCTCAGGGTGTCGTTACGTGAAGGAGATGAGACGCAAGACTACAGGACAGATGAGAGAGCAGGAGGGACTTTTGGGGGATGACGCTTCCAAGGACACATGGAGAGAAGAAAGACAGGCCACCCGAATCCTTTCAAGTCCTGTCGACCAAACGAGATCGGAGGGAGAGGGAGGAGAGGAGTTTGGGTTTTGAACATCGAGTCAGGGCCTCGCTTTGGAGGCATTGAACCACAACTCATCCTGCATGGTAGCGCCCCTACTTTCTTGCTGTAGTGAGCAGCCAATGGGCTCATCAATCGGGGTATGTCTGGGCTCCCAGGATCATGCGCAAGACAGCAACACAAGACTGCGACATAGTAGTCTCCCCGGCACACGACTTGTCCGTCACTTTGAAGGGCTTAGTTCCGCCGTGCGCTTCAAATAAGGATATTCGTGCTCATATGCTTGGAGCTACTACATCAATTTCAATGTTCCAGCTACAGCCGCGCATCCAAGCGCCGAAGTTCTGCAGCTCGATGCCTGCTGCCTGTGCATCGTTTTAGATGAGTTTGGTGCTGGCACTAGTGGAGACATGACCAGATGGGCGGCTCTTGCACTGCCATTAACCCCTTGAGGCAAAGTCTGCTCATCGAATATGCAACGCTGGACAAAGTCTCTGTTAAATACGGCCCACACCCACACCAGCATGGCTTGCAGCATTGCGGGATCTCATTTGCAGGGCCCACTGCCGCCGCTGCCTGAAGGACTGCAGATGTCGTATTGCCAGCCCAAGCTCATCTGCGCATGCACATGAGGTTACCACCTGTGCCGTTGCAAGTTGATACTGTAGATGTGAAACGCCGTACTGTATTTCAGACACGTTGCTCATGGCATTTGTCGTGAGCGCACGTAAGACGTCGCTGGCGAAGCAGCAAGAACAACAATTTAAACCATCCTGTCAAACGACGTGTTTGCGTGTGCTTCCGTGGGCTTTGTTTCGTAAGTCTCATCTTTACAACGTGCAGGTGGTTCCCCGTCTTGGGCACCTGTACAACTTCCGGGTGTTCCGACGACGGACATGCATGTAAAGTCTTGAAGTGTTTGTAAGCTGTTTTGTTTGCGGCCGGATATTTTGCTTGCCCGGCAACAAGGCTCAAGGCTTCGTCTATCGGCCCCATACTGAGGAGGACTTTTCGATGGGGTTAGATGAAGTTCGCCGCTAGCCAGCGGTAGCCTTGCTGACAGGCACTCGAGGTTGCCAGGTTGTAAAGGCTCCTGCTCCGGATGTGCAGTAGGGTTGCAGAGCTACTTGGACTCTCGCCGGAGGCCATCTCAAAAGGTCGCTTAAATGTGCCGGCCCGGTGCCGGTTTCAGAAAAGTTGCCGTCACCAGGTGCTTGAAGAGAAAAATCGCGTACGTGCTGGGCGGCAGTGGGTTCGAGGGTTGCGGTTCTGAGAGTCTGGGGCGGCAGCACGGACACGCCCAATGATTTTGCCAAGAACTGTCTAAGTCTACCCAATTGTACCCATCTCAGCTAGCTGAAATCATCATGTGTTTGCAGACGGAGGGGGGGGGGGGGTAAAGGGAGCGGGGCAAAGGTTCACATTGTCATCGCAGATTGCGTTCACAAAGGCGTGAGAGGTCGAAGTTCCTGTTGCATACCTGCATTTGAGAGAGACGTGCGCTGGTGTGGGAAGGGACATATGGGGGTTTCCGAAAACAGGGGACCCTAATATGGCACCCTAAATAGTAGGATCCTTATTATAAGGACCCCAAAATAAGGTACCCTATCCCATATGAAAGGTACATACGTCGATATGCCAATGTGTTTGAGCGGCCCGGGCTCTTCGATAAAGGGCGGTGCAGGGGAGGCAGCTTGTTGCGACTTAATATAGGGGTCTCAATAATTACCTGTATTATTTTGGGGGTTCCTTTTTATAATTATGCTATAAGGGACCCCAAACCCTATTTTAATTATTCAGGCCCTTACATTAATCGGATGTGAGCCTATGTAAGGATAGAGCTGGAAGTCCCATGGGCGCGCCGAATCGATATCCCGGCTCCTGCTGGTAGCAGAATCCTCTTGATGCCCGGCCGCGGAGCAGTGCTCCCTAATGTTAAAATGATAACCAACGGTTCACATTTATGACATAGAAGAAGAAGAAGGCGATCCGAGCCTTCAGCAAGATTTCGGACCCTCTCAGGAAAGGAATGCATCTCTTAGCAATTGCTAGAGAAATCGGCGACGGCGCAGATGGCATGGCTTTGGGGGGTACGTAGCTGAGCATCCTGCTCTGTGTGTTCGCCTGTGGAGCAAGCTAGAGGGCGCATGGATGTACAGTACATCTTCAATTCGAGGCGCTCGTATGCTGAAGAGGTAGTGCAGTCCAACATATTCGAAAATGTTTTGGACAGAAACAGTTCGCATGATTGCATTGGATCTTTTGCTGGTCGTGCAACGCACTCTCGGTTGAACCATTTCGGCAGCTTCTCGCTGAGCACTGGCACAGACTTACGGCATTCAACCGAAGATTGCTGAGCGTGCCATCTCTGCACAGACGACAGCGCAGAACGCGATGGCCATGCCTGCATACTAAGGAATTCTGACATACATGAATATATATATATATATATGTATATATATATATATATATATCGTGTTATATATATACACACACATATGATATATAGTGTATATATATATACATATGCGCACATAATCTGGGTTTCATTCTGGATTTCTGTGTGCGTAGACAGCCAGTTATTCATACAAAAGTACGTATGCCTGTACAGAACACATACCTCACCTGCAAAGACAGTGGTAATAATGATTAAAAATGTTCCAAGTGCTCCGAAGGGTTGAGCGATGTTGTGTACATTTTGCATCGCTTTTGGCAGAAATTCACGGCTAGCCTTGAGAATACGGCAAACGCCAGTGAGCACAGGGACGATCACCATGACAAAAGCTCCAGCAAGTTTCACTAGGTGTAACTGGAGCTTTCAATGAATGCCACCAGTAATTACTATCGCATGCATCAAGGTGCAGACAATACCAGCAGTATATGAGACTTTCCCTGATGCTCATGATGCGAAAGCTGACAGTATCACAAACATGAGGGTTATGTCTAGCCACGTGTAACACAGGTAGTGCTGAGATAAGTTGTGGTTTCTACAATGCCAGTCAGTCAATGACAAGATGACTCCACCACACACACACACACACACACACACTTTAGCGACCTGCACTTCGTTTTTGCCTCTCCGCACGTCTCTTCCAATAGGGGCACTGCTACATAGCTAGTTGATTTTGCGGGCTGCCTTCATGCTTGTAAACACGCAGCGCGAGATTTGAACACCCTGTTGAGGTACATCTCACAGCGCATGTAAGGATGGATCAATGGACATACATGCACACAACTTTGAATGCTTAAAATCTGCATAGACGTAACTGAACTGCAGATGCTCCTCGACCAATGCTCCGGACTAAGGCGACAGAGTCTGAGACTTTGGCCATTGAGGGCCGAGAGGCTGGAACGCACTGTGGGTTTGATGAACTGCCCTTAATTCAGGTCTAGAGTGGATCAGCAATCAATGTTCCTGCCCGTTTCCGTGCAGGTGCTGCAGGAGAGTCTCCTTGCTGATGGTGGCTTCGCCTATGTGTACGCCCTGCTTTACACAAACCGCTCCTGCTGCAGTGTGTGTATACAAGATCCTTGCCGGAGTCCTTGAGCTTCTTTGACGGGGATGCTGGTGTCCGAGCACACGTGTTGAATACGTCGACAGTTCTGACTGATGTGACTGCAAGTTCCTGGTGACCTCCCTCACTTTCTGAGCATCCGTCGTACCAACTCCCATGTGCACAGATTGTCCAGATGTTTGCATACATGAAATCCGTGCCGGACCCTATTGGTGAGAGAGTTGGTGGAAGAGCGAGAGAGCTAGCAGTTGTCCACTGCAGTTTTTGTCCATGGGTCGCGACACTTGGTGGGCTAAGCCGGCGCCCTTCTGTGATTTTCAGTAGCTGGGCTTGGATGCCACTCTAGCACGTTACGACGTAAAGGGTAGTATCCTGTCTGGCAGGTACAGGGGTCAGGAGCCAAGGGGCTGGCAGTGCCTGAACAGGGCGAGGTCCATGTACACTCGAATGACTCGTGGACACTCATGTGGGTATTTCTCTAAATTAGGGTCCCTTTTAGGGTCCTTTTTATAAGGGTGGCGTACTATATTGGGGACCTAGAAACGGCACCCTAATTTAGAAAACTACCCATGTACTGAAACATTTGCACAGAGTGCTCTGTCTTGCTACTCGGCCAGACAGGCAGTGTCAAAAAAAGACAGTTGGTCTGATGCTAACTTGCATGTAAGACTCGATATATTACATAAGATATCATATATTACTACACTGTCATACTGCTTCTAATATATTATGTGTTTGAGACTCGGCACTCCTTTGAAGAGGAGGGCTTGAGGGGTTCAGGAGTTAAGTGCCAAGGCCGCGAGGTCCGAACCGGCGAGCCTTTGGTCGGGAGCCCAAGGAGCATCGTAGCTTTTTATAGGTACTTAAATAATTACCAATACTATTTTGGGGGTTCCTTAGTGTGATAGTACAAGGGGTCCCAAAACCCTATTCTAATTATTAAGGCCCCTATATTAGTTGGTGGCGTGAGGGTTTGGGATTCCTCGCCACCTCAGCACGGCGTTGGACGGTGGCGTGGTTCTGACGGAACATGAAAAAGACTGCTAGTGGTTTGTAAGATCCGGGTCTGTGCATGTTACGGAGCAAGCGCAAAGACTTGTCGCCTGAACCAGTGTCTGCCTGACCCGAGTGTGCGTGTCATACCATAATATAATAACTGTGGGATGATAAAAAAAATCTATG